CCTTTAACATTAGATTTGAGTTGAGATAACCAAATTGGTGGCCATGGCCTGAAAATACCGGTTTGGGCACTCACACCATCGAAAAATGCTTTAATTCGGAGATATGGAATTTCAAACTTGCAGATTTCGGATTCTAAGGGGCTAATGCATTGGAATGCCCCCTTAGAATTTGTGACGTCAGCGCAGATCTAACGATTTTAAATCTTTTACTAAAACGTTTTGTAGCACGCGGTGGTAATGCCGTTTTGCGCGCAACAAGTGCCGCAATTTCAAATAAAGTCGCTAGGAACAGCGGAGATCCCAAAATGTAAACAAATGTCAAAGTCTAAGATCTTGAAAACCGGTGAATATTCTTCGGTGAAATTTGGTAGATATTCGTTTTCGCTCTTTCTGAACCGAGCGACATCACTTACATGCCAATTCATAAACTTTTTTGAAGATGGGAGGGTCCCTTTAATTAGTAGCAGAATGAATCATAGATTTCATAAATGATCCAGTTTGCGTAAACCCTCGCCCGCACACATTATTTTCCCATCCGTTGGAACGCACATGGGGAGGAGTTTGCCCACTCCCGAGTCCCGCGCCGCCATTTCTTTGCTCGTCAGGTGAAAAAAGGACTACAACGAAAACATCAGAATCTTTGGAAAGAAAAGACAAACTCAAGGGTGCCCAATTTAACTCCTTAGGTCAATCATAGACCTTCCAGGTCAGATCAAACTAAAAAGTGTTTTATAAGTCAATGGGGAAAAATAAAAACTGCTATTCTGGCGCCGGGAACGATCTCCAACTGTCTCTTTTTTTAAAATATTTTTGGTGCCCGACCCGGGCTTTTTGTCGTTAGTAGCACACATTCATACTGTGTTCAGGGTTAGTACACTATATACATACACGGCAGTGGTACGAAGCGTTTTCGGTATCCGCCAAGCGGTACAGCCTTGACCGCACGCTTCCTGTCACCCACCCCAGGTGGCACCGCACTGGTGCGTACGCTGGGGCTATCCCGATTTATCGGGCCCGGCAGGCTAGAGGGCTGCTCCGGGACATGAAGCGAGGCCGTGCCCTCGGGACATGTCACCGGACCGAAGGATCTGTTTGAAGGCGGATCAGGCCCGTGCACCTGCGGCCGGGGGCGCTGGCTGGCTCAGCGGTAATCCCCACGACCGAGCGAACACTCCCCAGTTACTGCCATCTCCTGGGTAGGAGCTGGCCGAGGAAAACGCTGCCAGAGGTCAGCTATGATCCAAGGACCTCCCACACCAAACGTGAACGCACTTGCCAACTGCGCCACAAGGGTGAGGATCTCTAACTATCTCAAGCACACAGCATCGTGCTTTGATGCACTCCTTGCAAGGTTTGATGCGCCACTTTTGCAAAGTTGACCTTGCGTGACGATATTTATGACGTCATTAGGGTCATATTAGCTTTTCGTCAATAACTCCCGATCAAATTGAGCTAGCGAGTCGGGAAAGCCACCAATGGACTCAGGAAGACCTGCGGAATCGAATGATATGCGACATGACCTCCTTCAACCAATTTCGTGACCTGGGGCGCTGACCTAACCGTGACCTGAGGTCAACACCCTAAGTTAACCTCACCCAAACAAAAAGTATATCATTCAACGCGCCTGAGCGAGGCGAACACGATGCTGCCAAAATCGCGGCTCTGCGACCGTAATTGCGAAGGTATTCACCAAAAACTGAACCCTACCTTGGGGCACTTGACCTGACCTCAGAGGTCACCGGTTGACCTAGGACCTTAAAATCGGGTACCAATCTCTGCGTCTCGTAACGGCGCACACGCTCGTTTTTTTCCGCGATGCGCTAGCTCCACCAGGAGCAAAACGGCAAGGGGGCGTTCCCCCCCTCGGCCGGCGCGTACGTAGAAAACCAATAGGTCCGGCGAGGGTTAAGGATGCCAGATTATTGCTTTCAACTGACGTCACAGGAACAGCGGGGGGATTGACATCACTTTTATGTCAATTCATTAACCTTTTTTGAAGGTGGGAGGGTCCTTTTAAAAGTGACTATCTCGGAATTAAAACATTTCTCGATGTAGTGCGTGGCCAGCGCCCAAACCTGTATTGGAGGCCAGGGACCCCAAGTTGGCTATCTGAACTCAAAACTAATGTTAAGGTGGGATGGTCACTTTAAATACAATCGGTAAATAAAGCATGATCCGGGGACTCTTTGTTTATTAACCCTCGCCGGCCGAGGGGGGGGGGCGGGTGCCGCCCCCCCCATAGGGTTTTTTCGCGATAGCTCCGAACACGCTGGCGATAGAGAGCTGAAACTTGGCATACCTGACCTTTGATCCAAGCCGCATCTTTTGACACCAACCGCATTTTTGGGTCAGGTCAGGTCACTGACCTATGACGTCATAAGTGAACCTCTGCACGGTCTTCAGATGTCGCAACTTCGCAACGCTCTCACTGCCAGAGGAGATGTCACAGGGAAATGAAACTTGCAGGATCTAGTATCCATTATGAGTCCCACAACTTGTATATCTCGGATTTTTCCTAAAGGTCATATGAGGTCAGGTCATTTTCGTGACCTCACCATTATAAGTCAATGGGGAAAAATGAAAACTGCTATTCTGGCGCCGGGAGCGATCTCCAACTATCTCAAGCACACAGAATCGTGATTTTATGCACTCCTTGCAAGGTTAGATGCGTCACTTTTTCAATGTTGACCTTGCGTGACGTCATTTATGACGTCATCAAGGTCATATTAGTTTTTCGTCAATAACTCTTGATCAAATTGAGCTAGCGAGTCGGGAAAGCCACCAATGGACTCAGGAAGACCTGCCGAATCGAATGATATGCGACATGACCTCTTTCGACCAACCTCGTGACCTGGGGGTGCTGACCTGACCTTGACCTGAGGTCAACACCCCAAGTTGACCTGACCCGGACAAAAAGTATATCATTCGACGCGCCTGAGCGAGACGAACACGATGCTGCCAAAATCGGCGCTCTGCGGCCGTTTTTTGCGAAGTTATTCACCAAAAACTGAACCGTACCTTGGGGCACTTGACCTGACCTCAGAGGTCACCGGTTGACCTAGGACCTTAAAATCGGGTACCAATCTCTGCGTCTCGTAACGGCGCACACGCTCGTTTTTTCCGCGACGCGCTAGCTCCACCAGGGGCGAAACGGCGAGGGGGGGGGTCGTACCCGCCCCCCCCCCCCTCGGCCGGCGCGTATGTAGAAAACCAATAGGTCCGGCGAGGGTTAATTATGGCAGCGAGCTGATGGAGGGGCAAATAATTTCTGGACACCCTATGCATAAACTGCTAGAAAACTATTGGGTACAGGGCAGGGAGCATGTCAGGGCATAAGGCAGGGCACATGTCAGGATATAGGACGGGGCACGTGCCATGACACAGGGCAGAGAGCAGGGCAGGGCAAAGGACAAAGCACAGGGCGAGGCACAGGAAGGGGACAGGGCAGGGCAAAAGATTAGGAACAGGGTAGGGCACAGGACAGGGTGTAGACAAGCGGGGCTCAGGGCAGGGCAGAACAGAGAGCGGGGCACAGGGCAGGCACAGGCCAGGGAACAGGAAAGACGCAAAGCATGGAGGGGCATAGGCTTCCGGTCGAGACGGGGAATTCAGCCGAGGCGGGAAGCGCTTCAGTCACAATTTTGTGTTTACACAGATAAGTCGCAAGCATAACTCAAAATGTTACCGGCTAGTTTTCGTATTTCTTTCACCATAAGCTTGCTTGTACATTTCTAAGTCTCCACAGAGATCCTGACGGGAATCGATCATTAGGAGCTGTAAGCAGCGGCCATCGCAATGCAATTAGACGGAACGTCCGGCGCCATGGCAGCGAGAATCGGCCCGCCGCACCGCCGTGGCGTTTTTTTTTTTTTTTACTTCACACCCCTGTTACTAAAAAAGTTGTGGACCGGTTTACTTACTTCTTTCACGGCAAGATGCGCAATTCAATTTTAGGCCGGTGCTAAAAATTTGACGTTAGTAGAATGATTACGGCGTGAGATATTTCCGAAGAACAGGAAAGGTGGGCGAAATTCGTCTCCCCTTCCGTTGTCTACATAAGCCACGTAACGATATTTGCCGTTTTCACGACGGCCATCTGGTACACATTTGGTGCACATCTGGTACAGATTAGGTGCAGATTTGGTCAAATCAGGTTCAGTGTGTCTCTTAGCAGCTATCAGCTAGGGCTGCACTAATTGCTTATATGCCTGCTTTGTCATATTATCAGAGAGCATTGTCGATTAAAACACTGAAATAAATTCATAAAATACAGATATTTGCTGTAAAAGAAGTTAGGTGCAGATTTGGTCAAATCAGGTGCATTCGCCGGATATAGCCCGTCGTGAAAACGGCTAATATTCCGTCGTTTCCTGCGTCTTCTTTGTTTCTACGGGATTTTGGTTTGCGTACTAAAACTCTTCTCGTAACGAATGCAGCAGGCGCGCTACATTACCGGTCTGGCGTCAATGTAACGATGTCCGGCAGAATTCGACGAGTGAGAACCGCTCAGAATTCTGAACTTTTTCGGATTCTACGGGAGCTCGTGTAAGTGATGAATGTAAAGGAAGAACGCCGGTAGAAACACAATTAAGATTATACTTATTGAAAACAAATACAGCCAAACTACATGTCCGGACTCCAATTTAGCCTCGGCTGTCGTGTCCGTCACATCAGCGCGCTGCGCTCTGTCCGACAAGGTGTCAGCTCGTGTCGGCTCAGTCGCCCCCTGTCCGATGTCGGCTCCGTGCGACTGGTCGGAGAGCGCAGCCGCCCCTCTTCCCCTGCACCCGTTCCCATCGCGCGTCGGCACCCCTGCCAGAAGACAATCAATTAGTCGGATAAGCGTAAGCCGAAAATCGCCGTTAATCAGCGCCGGCGTGTGCGCCGAGGTGGGCTGCGACCAATCAGCGTCCGAGTGGAGCGGCGACGGCGGCCGCCGACGGCGCGCGCCTCGCGCCGCAGTAGACCGTGCGCGCCGGCCGCCAACGGGCAGCCAGCGAGCAGTGAGAGTTGCGGACAGCGAGCGACAGCGAGCGGCGGCAGCGGCGGCGCCGTGACGGCATGTGACGCGCGCCCCGGCCACAGCCGTGTGTGTGCGTGTGAGCGACTGAGAGTGGCGCGCGCGGGGCGCACCGATGGGCGCCGGCTGAGCGGCCGCGCCCCCCGTGCCCGCGCCATGCGGCCGGCCATCGGCTCGGCTCTGCTGCTGATGTGTGCTCTGCTGGCGGCGCGGCCGGCCGCCGGCCTCAGCACTGACCCGCCGGCGGCCTCCTCGGCCGCCGAGGGCGTCCCCCGTCCCGCCGAGGACCAGGGCGGCAAAGTGAAGCGGAACGTTCGAACCACGGAGGAGATGCGCATCTTGTGTTCTGACACTGGATATGTGCTGGAACTCCTGCCGAACGGAGAAATCAACGTCACCAACGACGAGGGCAACAGCCCCTACGGTAGGTGCCGCCGCTTGCTCTGCGTCTGACCAGGGAGGCCGCTCCTGGCTGTTCCGCGGGTTCCCGCCGTGCTGACCTGACCCGACCCGACCCCCTGGGGGTCCCACCGTGCCGACCCGACCCGACCCGCGGGGGTCCCACCGTGCTGACCCGACCCGTCCGCTGGGCGAACTGGACAGTGTGCAACAGCTCACCCAGACTTTAGCTGACCTGTTGGGTTCCATCTTACTGGTCAGCATAAGCAGTTAATCTCTTAATTAAGCATACTAACTAACAAATGGACTGGAAAAGCTCCACCTTAAGCCGGTTTACAAACAGCAGCTTAGTCGCTCATTTAGTTTCCGTCGCCTACATTGCCTTTCCAACTAACACCTGTGCATTTTTATCAGATGCCCAATTCAGCGGCAAGAAAACTCGCGTACTCGTATTTTATCGTAAGTGAGCGAAGCAGACCGTCGGACTGGCTCGTGAACCGGCTGTGGGTGCCGCGCCTGCCGCCACCGTTTCATTTCGGAGAGAGCCGCACTGCCCTGGCAGCGCGGCGGTGCGAACAGGCGACGGGTGCTGCCCAGGCCGTCCTCAGAGCCCCACCCCTGGTCCCACTGACCCCGTCTCCCAGTATCAGTGCCGCCGGCCAGTTGATATTGCGACATCGATTGTCGAGGAGGGCTCGACTCCCCGACACTGACTTCGTCTGACCGCGACTGCAGTGGTTTGTCACCGAGAATTATGAGCAGCGTTTTTGTATTTTTCATTCTCATTTATTATTTGTATACCTACTGGCTTACTGAAGGAAACTTACGAAACCGGTTTTGTGCAATTAACTACCTAGTTCGTTGCTACAAGGGGCTGCCGAGATGCCAGGTGTGTTGGAGGCTCGCGTGCCTGCCGCCGGGCCGGGCCGGGCCGGGCGGGCGGTGCTGCCCGGCTCAGTCCCCGGCGGACAGAGGACACTGTCGTGGCCCGTCGCCGGCGCCATCCGGAGGTGTCAGCTCGCTCGGCCCGTATCAGCCGAGACGACAGGCGACACCGAATTGGAGCTGTTTGCCGCGTCCGGCGGCGGCGCGACCGGCCGGGTGAAGGGTCGGCCGCAGGGGCAGGCAGCGCTGACCCGCTGTGGGCTGAGCTGCCACTGTGGGCCGGGCTGCCGCTGCGGGCCGAGTTGCCGCTGTGGCGCTGTGGGCCGGGCTGCCGCTGTGGGCCGAGCTGCCGCTGTGGGCCGGGCTGCCGCTGTGGGCCGGGCTGCCGCTGTGGGGGGGGCCACCGCTGTGGGGGGCTTAGCTGGCCCTCGGGCCCTTGCGGCTCAGTGACCACCCGGCAGCAGCGGCCAGGGACTTATCGCATATAACCGAGATAATCTGTGAAAACGGCAATGTGCACACGATGGCTGCGTCGATTCCAAATAGGCCATACAATTGCAAACAATTGTAATGGTTGGAATGCCAATACGGTAACGATCGCTTCATCAAATCCCGAGTAAGGGATGGAATGGGTGCATTTCCAATTGTAAATTATATATAGGTACACGCTCCAACGCAAGATCCGATCTTTCGAAACAATTGACAAATGATTCAATCTGAAACAATACGGGGACAGTTGGCGCTACCTCAAAAATGCCAATTCGCTGCTCTAGTGTCATCCATATCAATGGTGTGGTTAATAGTTTTGTAGGAATCACCTTTCAGGCAGTTTTTTTTTTGCTGCAACTTTATTCACGACATTCGGTGCATGCAATATTGTAACATTAGCGCCGATTAACAATAACCTACCTGGGGGATGGTCCAGTCGCTATTGAAAAAAAAAAACAGCATTATGATAGAGAGAGAGAGAGAGAGAGAGAGAGAGAGAGAGAGAGAGAGAGAGAGAGAGAGAGAGAGAGAGAGAGAGAGATCACTTTATTAACAGACACGAAGTCCATAACAAAAAGGGGTGTTCAACAGTTACCCCGGTCCATGGATAGGCCTGGGGCTAACAACAGAAGTCAGCTGGATGTAGGTATCTATCGATAATCTGTTGCGGTCGATTCTACCCAGCTCCTCTGTTTTCAATTCTGATGATACTCGTTTTTGATTGCAACGATTATCTTTTACAAAACGCAACGCACTCATCATGAGCGATCAATACCATCTGTCAAACTTGTCCCAGCGTATTTCGCAACGCTCAGTTTTACTTTATTAATTAGCGCCGGCTTAGAACTGCTATAAAACGGCCGTTTACAAGGGATTGTATCTTTCGAAGGCCACGCTGAGTGGTTCGACAAGCGTGCACGCGGTGCCTGGTTCCGCATCTCCGGCCGTTTGGTGCAGCTGAGCCGGGCCCGGTCCCGCGGCCGTAGCTGAGTGATACAGACTGGCGGCCCTCAGGTCAGGTCAGGCGGTCCTTTGGTGTAGCGGTCCGGAGGTAGTACCGGTAGTACGGCGGTCCAGGACCCCGGTCCTCTGGTCAGGTCAGGTCAGGCCGGGCTGGTGACCTGGTACCGCGGTTCGGACCCCGGCCCCCTGGTCAGGTCAGGTCAGGTCAGGCCGGGCCGGGCTGGTGGCCTGGTACCGCGGTTCAGACCCCGGCCCCCTGGTCAGGTCAGGTCAGGTCAGGCCGGGCCGGGCTGGTGGCCTGGTACCGCGGTTCAGACCCCGGCCCTCTGGTCAGGTCAGGTCAGGCCGGGCTGGTGGCCTGGTACCGCGGTTCAGACCCCGGCCCCCTGGTCAGGGCAGCGCGCTCCCGGTGCAGGAATTCGGGACTGGCGGGCGGCGGGCGCGTCTGCCGGCTGCCGCCACCAATATCCGGGTGCCAGCCGGCTCATCAGCAGTCGGCGGCTTAGCTGCACGTGCAGCGGACGGCCGACGAGTCCGACCCGTCCAGTCCGTCCCGATTTCTGACCAGAGGTGCCTCGTCACAGCTGCCAGAGGCGGCAGATCAATGTCTAAAGCTCTAGGGAAATACCTAAAGCCTTCATGAGAAGTTTTTAATACCCAGTCCAGATTTACCACGAAAGTCAGGACGAGTCGATTTTACGACTCCATTTTAGAATCTAATAAGGGCTAAAAGGCCACTTTCGATCATAGCTGAAGTGGTCCTGGCCTGGCCAATACACAGAGCGATCTGTCCGAATATCCGAAACATCCCAAATGGCCTGATATCCAGGCGGCGGCGGCGGCGGCTAGAGCTGCGACAACCGCGTCAGTGGCTGGATGACACGCGTGTCAGTGGCTGGATGACACCCGTGTCAGTGGCTGGATGACACCCGTGTCAGGGGCTGGATGACACGCGCAGTCAGATCGGTTCTCTGATTTCCTCGGTAAGCCGAGGTTCCCAGATTACTTTTCCTTTGGCGAAACTGAGAAACTGCACGCGACGTCTTATCATCGCGCTGTCAACGAAACGCGTGTAAGCGTGCAGGCGGTTTGGCTGCAATATTATGAGCAAAAGTTAACGAATTATTGTTCAATATGCCAGCTTTGCCGAACAATGTGACGCGACGCCACCGAATACACTAGCATCTGTCAGCCACCGCAGCGGCACAGTTCCACGAGGTGTCGCATTTATCCGTGGACTACCCACAATCCCTTCAGCTCACGTTGACCTAGTCCTCTAAAATGCGCCTGTTCTTACGCCCCCTTGCACTCAGTAGTGTCAGCCCGTCGTCTCCTCTCCGTGTACCGTGTGTGTAGTGTTAACTGAGGCGTGACAGCTAAACCGGCCTGAAACACGCTCGGTTCAGCGCCGGCGCTGTCGGTCGGCCGCCGCCCAATGCGCGGCGCCTTTGGTGCCAACCGGACCGGCTGGGGGTCGACTCACCGAGTACCGCTTCTCTATGGGCCCGAGAGCGGCCTCTCCGGGTCCGCGAGCAGCCTCAAAGCCTCTCCGGGCCCGCGAGACACGAGAGGGCCACTCAGCGACGACACAGGCTGGCAGCCCAAATCGGCACTGGAGAGGATTACATCGGCCTGATGCCCAGGAAAACGGTTCAATGGCGGTTAGACGGTTAGGATTCTTTCCAAAGACATCTGTAAGCTAGTTCTTTTTTTTAAAGCTTTGTGATGCCTTGTGATGCCTGTAGTTCGATAAATGGGTTCTTTCAATTACAACCAGGAGTTTTGGGCTGGTGTAAAAGACCCACTGTTTTAGCGGAAGCAATGGTACTTGGCAATCACTTGGTAATGGTAATTCGATCTGAATATTATACATCTGTCGGCTGGTGGCGCTCGGTGACAGACACTGCCGCCCCTGGTTCGACGCTGTGCAGCGCAGCTGCAGTAGTGTTAGGCGTTAGCGGCCGGCGTGGTGCCTGGACGACTGAGCGAGGCGGGCCACCTCCGGACATCAGCCGCACTGCACAGCGCCGGCCACCTCCGGACCTATCAGCCGTACTGTACACTATACAGCGCCGGCCACCTCCGGACATCAACCGTACCTACTGCACAGCACCGGCCACCTCCGGAACCATCAGCCGCACTGTACAGCGCCGGCCACCTCCGGACCCATCATCCGTACTGCACAGCGCTGACCACCTCCGGACATCAACCGTACTGCACAGCGCCGGTCACCTCCGGACATTAACCGTACTGCACAGCGCCGGCCACCTCCGGACCCATCAGCCGCACTCTACACTATACAGCGCCGGCCACCTCCGGACATCAGCCGCACTGCACAGCGCCGGCCAGCTCCGGACCCATCAGCGCACTGCACAGCGCCGGCCACCTCCCGACATCAACCGTATACTGCACAGCGCCGGCCAGCCGCTCATAAACACAGGACGAGACGGCGCGGCTGGCCGGCCGACGGGCCCCGGTCAGTGGTCACTGGTCGGACGCCAGCGCCGGTCAGTGGTCACTGCACTGGTCGGACGCCAGCGCCGGTCAGTGGTCACTGGTCGGACGTCAGCGCCGGCTAGTTCCGGTGACACCCCGGAGACGCCCCGGAGACGACTGAGACCACTGGGACGACTGGGACGCTCCGGGGACAACTGGGACGTGACGACTGAGACGCCCCGCAGGCAGGAC